TGGATCTTTAAATGTTAAAAAACCTTACACAAACACAGTCTTCATTTCATATGAAATTTAGCTATCTATAAAGTGAGCAACTCAAGTTATTTTTTAATAAAAATACTGTACTGTTAAAATAAATGATTATATATTTTAAAAATCAGTGTTAAGAGGGAGCCATCCTATAGTTACATAAAACAATTCATTCAACTCAAGAGGATTTTAAGAAGTCAAAAGAGAGTTTGGCTAAGATAAGACTATACCTTCTGTAAAAAAAAAAAAAAAAAAAAGTAAGAAGAAAGAGACAATTGACTATTCAGTAACCACAGGTGGTCAAGCCTTTCATTTCACATCACATTTGACACTAAAACAACAATCCAGCCTGCAGAAGTAGTACGCAACCAGACAGAAAATAAGCACCAAAATGGTGACCGCAGAGTCCCTTGGCTGCCTCTCATGCTGCCACTTGATTTCTCCTCATACTCATTCTATTCCTTTCTAGTGTTCATATATAATCACATTGATTGACATGAAGATATGTTCTCAATAGTTCTTTGCCTCATGAAATAAATTCGTTTGTATCAGAACTATTATTAAAAATGAGCCAGAAATTATAATGATTCTTGCTTGTCTCTGAAACTCTAAAGTGACAGTCTCCAAACCCATGTTTTAAAAGGGGGGGGAGGGGAAGAAGGGGACAGGATGGGTAGATCTGATCTTCCATAAAAATAAAGCCCCAGGGGCGCCTGGGTGGCTCAGTAGGTTAAAGCCTCTGCCTTCGGCTCAGGTCATGATCCCGGGGTCCTGGGATCGAGCCCCGCATCAGGCTCTCTGCTCAGCGGGGAGCCTGCTTCCCTTCCTCTCTCTCTGCCTGCCTCTCTGCCTACTTGTGATCTCTGTCTGTCAAATAAATAAATAAAATCTTTAAAATAAATAAATAAATAAAGCCCCAAACTGCCTTTCCACTCATGTCAAAACCAAACTTTACAACCTTGTCTTTCCCCTTTTTGAAGATTACATGGGAATCAAAATTTGCCATTAATTGCTTGGCAAGATTATGAGAGCTTCAGAGAAGGAAACCACAGAATCAGTCTTTTTCATGCTTAAGCTATCTATGTCTCAATCTTACATTGGCTAGAAATCTTATAATTTTTAAAAAATAAGTAGCTTAAGACAGTTGACCTATAATGCACCCTGAACAGTTGAGTATAGCATTCCAAGAATAAATAGAACTATAGTATTTGTATCAGCATAGCTGATGGAAGTTGCTTTTAGTAAGGCACTTAATTTATTTCTCCAAAATATTCAGGCAATAAACAAACTTCAGAAGGGAAGAATTACATCTTCATCTGACCCAGTTCCAAACACCTGCATACCCTGCATATGAACAAACAACCCTAATTCCTCAAGATCTTTATACGGCAACAGTTGTGAAGTGTACAGAACTTTTATCCTCAGAAAATATTTTCCAACTTATATGTTACACTGAGAGCATCTCTCTAACTTCGAGCCAGCCTTACAGAGATTACTCATCAGTTATACTTTGTCTCTAAACTATATTGGCAATATAAAATGTGGACCTCTCATTCCTTTTTTAAATTTAAGAATGGAGTATGAATGTCACATATAAATAGGCAACGAAATCTGGAAACCTGTTTTTTTTTTTTTTTACCTTAAATTGAACTCTATGATATAGAGACCATGAAACATTGTGTCTGTTTTCAAAGATACTGAACAGAAAAAAAAAAAAAAAGAAAGAAAGAAAATATATTTTCCTACTGAAATAAAAGTTTCTGTTAAGTGAATATTACAATGGCCTACTAGCCAGAAAAAGTATAATAACTTGTGTTGAATAACAATTTGATAAATATATTCATTTTGATAAATGAATAAAATATATCAAAGAGCTTAACAGGTGAATATATCAGGGCTATTAGACATACTTTCCGCTTTCTGTATACTTTACATTAGTACATTCTACTTCTTAAATTTCTAGAAAATAAGTACATTCACCATGAATAGTCGTAACAACCTTGCCCAAAACATATTTACAATTAATCATCCATATGAATTCTGCCATTATTCAGTAATCATACATTGTCTATTATATGCTAAGTATCAGAAACACAAATATATTATATTTTATATATTCTATATTAATTATATATTAATATATAGTGATTCTATATTAATATTCTATATTAATATATCACATAATATAGTTATATATAATTATATGCAATTCACCAGGAAGGTAAAATATGAAAAGAGAACATTTTCTAGGTAGAAAGAATAAACCTGTGTCATCCGAGATCACCTGGTGTATTTCTGAACATGCACAAAAACTCGGCCTGACAAGAATAGTGGGTCCACAGTGAGAAATGACAAGAGAAAAGACCAAAGCTATAGTTTGGTGCTACTCTATACAGAGTTTTATGCTAAGACAAAGAGTTTTAGACTAAGTCCTATAAGAACAAGGACACATAGTTCCCAAAGTGAGGTAAACAATTCAACTCAATTGTGAGGGAAACAAGTCTAGTGGATATTGGAAGGAAGACCGAAAAGAGGAGAGGCTAAAAATCTGAGATCATATGAGAGATTTTTCCAACTGTCTACCCAAGAGATGAAAAATTGATGGAATGAAACATTTTAGGCAGGAACATATTTAGAAACGAACTGGACACATATAAGAGAAAGTGTCAGCATGTCACTAAAATGTACTTAAACCATTTAGCATCCCGAAATATGTCTGAGAATCTGATGAGAACCATAATCTTACCCACATGTATGCATAATACAGAATTCTCCAATTATTTTCAGGAGATCTCATAGACCCTGGCTCAGGTGCTGCTCTAGGTGAGCTCTAGGTGAAGTTGCTTGAGAGGAGGAGTTGTGTTTTGTTCAAACTGATTTCCACAGTGCCCAACAATAACAACAAAAAACTTGGTCCAAAGTAGGTAATTCACAGTTTGTATCTAGTTGAACTGAATTCTCCCTTACAAGCCGGTTTCCTTTTCACTAACATCCTGCATCACAGGATCCCCACATTCCAACTACAGAACATAATTTAATATACTTTTCTTATACTCATCCTTGAGTATACTTAAAATAATCTCTCCTTTATTTTTGTGGCATTCTTCTGGTTATAACTGTTTATATTCACTCCTTCAAATTTGTGTGTTTATGCTTAGAGTAGTGTCACAGGAAAACCAAACTAAGAAGCACTCACTCAGAGAAGCCAACGGTCAAAATACTGAGAGAGAAAAGGCATTAGCAGTGACGCAATGCCAAATGGAGAGCACAATCTCCTTGCCTTGTTGAACTGTGTGCTACCATTTCCCACCTTTCTTTTCCTAGTTTAACCTTCATGAGAGGAGCCCCAAAAGTTGTATCACTGCACATAACTAATATAAACTCACAGTAGAGAAAAAATAAATCAGGAATTATGGATAGTACGATTTAGCTTGCCAACAAAGTAATAATCAGACAATAAAATATGCATGTGCTCTTGTGAAGAGCTTATAATGTTTATAAGCACGGACTCTAAAGCCAGAATGTCTGGGTAAACAACACTGGCTCTCCTCTGTATCAGCTGTGATCTGAGGCAAACTACTTAACCTCTGTGTGCCTCAGTTTCCTCATTTATAAAATGAGACTAATAATAACATGTCACCATATTATTGTGAAGGTTACATGAGTTAATATACGTAATGTGATTAAAATGCCACATCTATATAAGTGTTAGATGGTGTTACCCGAAATACTATCCTTGGGGGGGAAATCTTGGCACAAAGTAATCCACCAGTGAAATTTTGACCTATGAGGCTTAAAATATTGAAAGAGTATTTAAATCTAATCTGAGTGACAAAAAGTAGCATCCATTTCACAGTTATTAGGAGATATCTGATTCTTCTTCTTGATTTAATTCTATATACAGTAATGCAATAACATAAATAAGTGGGCATATTTCAATACCAAGCACATTTATGATATGTAAAAATTTTCTAGAGAAAGCAAAAAAAAAGCCTTTCACAGAATCAGAGTCATCTTCAAAACTATGAGATGGTATGAGGAAACAGTTTTGCTGGTGTAATCTGGTTCCAATTAATGCCCGCCCTCCCATCCTTGACGTAGAAGAGCAGAAGGGCACAAAACCATGACATCTACCCAAGCAGCCACGTTGAAAAGGCGAGCCTGGCTTTACTGGCAGCTAAGTGCCCAGTACTTTGCCGACATGCTAATTCCGTACGTAAGCTCCTAAGCAGGACCTAAAAGCCTAACGGTGAGTGAGTGAGTGAGTGAGTGTGTGTGCATGCGCGTGCTTTTAAGCTTCAGTTGAAGATGCTATGCTGCCTTCTTCCCCCTCATCCGTGAAACCACAGTTTCCTAATCTTCTGCAATGACAATGATCCAGACCCCAAGATGAAGGGGCAGATAAATAATCCTAAGAAGCAAATTCTGGAATTGGAGGTACCAGGTAATTAGCGAATTATCAAAACAACAATATGAATGAGACTGAGTTAGAAAGTATTGCAGTCACATTAAAAAACTACAGTTTCTATGAAATACTTTCTCCTATAATATTCCCAGTACTGTAAAGGAATACTGGAATCCAATCTGGGCAAAGCAAAAAATTGAAAACGATTTATCATGGTGGAGATGTCCAAAATACATTGTAAGTCTACCTGGAAAAACCTCTTATTAGAAATACTATGACATCCAAATGTCATGCTGACAAACTTTAAATGCGGTACTTGAACATTATTCTTAAATGTATACGTGTTTTCTCCTAATTAAATTGTGTCTCAAAAGTAAAATTCTTGGGGGAAAAAATAGCATATCATGTACTTCCTACTGGAATCAATTTACTTGCAAGGAATTCTAAGATGTTAGGAGTGAATCTTGTGTCTGGCTGTTAAGTAGATGATAATTATAAAGCAAAGGATTGAAGCCAAACTGTTAGAGGAGTAGACTGGTCAAAGAGTAAGTGTAGGCACAAGAGACCATGAGAAACCTACCATTGTATTGTGCTGAGAAGTGGGAGTCCTATGGCCACAAGTCTCTTGCGTCAGCAGAGAAACTGGCTGAAATTCCTCAGAGTGAGGCTTGTTGGGAAAACTCACATGCAAGGGAAGGTGAAAGGCTGGGAGCCCGTCACTCTCCTCTTCTTCCACTTTCTGTCTGCTTGTCACCATGGCTACCTCTCCATCTGCTTCCCCATACGGAGAGGCTGGTCGCTTGGAAGACATCCTGGAAGGAACAAAAGAGGAGAAAATAATGAAACCTCCACATAAATCCTTAATGCCGTCATTGTGTGGTTAGGGGCCATTGTAACAGAAATGCCTTTTTGTGCTGGCAGAGAGCAGGAAACCATCCAAATACCACTGCAAAGCGCTCACAATCAGAAACAATGGCCAAGCAGGTAGCAACAGAACAGTGCTTGTTTGTTGTGAGAATAATACTCTAATATAGCACTCTCTTGTATTCTGGCTTCTTAAACAAGAGAATTCACCTAAGAACACTGCATAATGAAAGACCATTCCATTTTAAAGGGAAGAAAAATACCCATCTAGTTTTACACTTTGATAGACCTTATTGAAGACAGAACATCTATGAATAACAAATACTGTTGGCAGTTAAAAGAAGGGAAAGAACTAAAATTTCTTTCATCAAAAAATAAACAAAAATTAATGAATGATTGCCATTAAAATGAATTTGCAATTTATTAAAAGTATGATTATTATGAATTGTAGAAGTATTGGTTATAAAGAAACCACAGACCCCATGACCAAAAGTTCAGTATTTGCTTAAAGCTTATTGAGAATTGAATAAATTTTACAATTGCTGTGAATCTTGAAACACTTGAGAATTTTTCTTTCCTCACCTCCCCATTCATTTCTAATATCAACCATGCAAAGTGGTTTAAAAAAAAAGAGTGAAAATATAAATATAATTCAGTTTTCCTTTCCACAATTCTATGGAGGATTTAGATGTGGATTCTCAGGCTTATTTGCCCCTTAGAATACCTAAGTTAGAGGGAAAAATCAAAGGAAGGTGTTATGTTTTGATGAGCTAATGCCTATAAGGAAATGCACTTAGACACTTAAAAATTAAACACTTTTTTTTGGTATTTGAGTCTAAGAATACTATTATAAGTTAAAAATATGTGGCAAATATTCTTAGTTAAATAGAGAGTTCCCTTTCCTTTCACTACAAGTTTCACATAGAAGTAGTATAGAGTTAAAATTTTTAATTAAAAAAACTCTTTGTATTTGCAACTTGATCTGACCTTGGGAAAGTTGTTATTTTGCCCGACAAACAAAGAATGTTTACAGAATCATCCATTCTTATTCTAGACCAGTGGGAGAGGAGGTAAGACAGTACTAAGGGTCCCACCACTTCCTTCAGATATATCACTGATTTTTTAAATTTGGAAATTTACTACTAAAGAGATGTCTCTAATCATTGCTGAATAATACTATTCCTACTGTGAAAGGTTTCAAAAGAACAGTGCATTCAAGCACTGAAGATACTTTTTTCAGATATAATAGCACAGTAGAAAAAAAATAAGGGCTTTGGAATCAGACAAACATAGATTCACATACTGATTCTGCTCCTTTCTAGCTGTGAGACTTAGCTTTACTCTATCTCAGTTTACTCCTCTATAAAGGAAAATGTAGTACCCACTTGGAATGCTCTTTGAGAATAAACTGTGTGCCGTATGAGAAATGACTTGTAGAGTAGTTAGCACAGAGCAGACTCTCAGTAAACAAAAGATGCTGTTTGCTTTAAAACTACAGTGTTATCTCACCTGCCCCCCAAAACAAACAAACCAAACCAGAAAATTCCAAGATGAGGAGAGGTTACTTTCTAAGAGTTAAGCCGTAAAATCAACATGAAATACAAAATGTCCTGATAAGAGAAATGATCCTTGGCCAGTAATACTTAACAATAAACTAATCAGATCTATTAGCAAAGAAATACTAATAGCAGGTAGTCTTGATTAGCTAAAGAACAATCAAAGAGGAGGAAATACTGGTGGCTACCAAGTAAACACCATCTAAAGGAGAAGTAGACGGGTCCATCACATTTCAGTATCTTCACTTTTTCAGATCTCATGACTAAGGTTTACTCCAAGTATACTCATAAGTATGGAGAAAGGAAGTAAGAGGTTGGAGCTGTAATAGTCCTAGTCTCATCGGCAATACCACATCTATCACCAAGTGGGAAAATTAAGCTATATGTAATAACACTACACACTAGCAATATTAACTTCTACAACTCTGCTTTCATGCTCTCCAAGCAAACTTCTGACTGCCATGCACAGAATGGGCTGATGGAACAGATTTAAAATATTTAAGGCCTTTGTGATTTATCAGAGTAAATCAATAAAAGGACTTTTAATTATTTCTTGTTTTATATGTACTTTGACTACAAAGAGATTATGCATTTATTATACAAGCCATAGTATTTATGGTCTGTGTAGGCATTATAACTGTTGGTGAAATTAATTAATTGGTATTCCAGTGTCTCCTTCAGTCTTATGTACATTAAGTCTCTTACTGTCCAAAAACTCCAGGCTGTTGGCAAAAGCTAGTCTCTAGGTTATTAAAGCAGAAAGCTAGATCAGCTGGCCTTTCCCAAGTTAATGCAGTTCTATGACCTTCACAGAAAGCATGACTTTTTGGCTGATTTTTACTTTATTAATATTATTATAAATAATGATTATGAAAACTGAAAGTCCAAAAGTAGACAGAAGGTAGATGTGGTAAATAGCTAACAACGACGGCTACTCTTCTCAAAAGATCTAGTCATTTCAATATCTAAATTATCTTTCTATGCCACTGTCTCTTTCTATATATATCGTTCTATGGAGCAAAAAGTGTAAACATGAAAAGTCGTGATACCAGAAGGCACCTGATCCTAAACAATTACATATTTCATGATTATTTCAATTCCATATGCAGACACTTACAGAATGTTCTTAATGTGCCAGAGTTGAGAATATTTTTATACAGTTCAGGTAAAAGAGGTCTTAGAGATTAAAAAATATTTTGCAATAAAAATGCTCATAGTTCAAAAATAGGCTGCTAAATCAGAAAAAAAAAGCAAATACTTAAATTATGTAGAGAGCTATCAATCAGCTTGATATTTAGTCTGACTCATAGTACTTCTAAAAATATGGATAACAAATCACCAATAATGTTAATTCTTGAGTTTTTGTTCATCTACCAAACCATTTCATTTTGGACAGAAGTAGTCTCATTCATGAAAAACAACAACAATAACAGTGTTTTCAGTGTTATATTATTATTTATTCTCATCTCTATTTTATTTGTTTCTGATTTTTCTTTGTTATTTTCTTCCTCTACTATATTTCAGCTAAGTTTCTTCTTTTTCTAATTTCTTGTGACATAATGTTAAGTTGTTTATTTGAAATGTTTTCTTAAGACAAGCATTTATAGCAAAAATTTCACTCTAACATCTGTTTTTGCTGCATCCCCATAGGTTTTGAAATATTTTGCTTTCCTTTTCATGTTTTGAGACATATTTTGATTTGCATTAAAAAATTTCTTACTACTGAAAAATGTTCTACCATTGGAATTATTTGTTTCTACTTTCTGTCAAAGTTTGCTTTATGTATGTTGAAATTCTGTTTTGCCCTTGCATATTAACAATTGCTATATCTTCTTGAAAAAAAGAATAATATAGGAAGGTATATAATAATAATAATAAAAAGAAATCACAGCAACTTTCCATTTATCGTTTATCTTGGATATGTCGGGTTCTAATTCCTGCACTTGCTTACATGACATGCTGTGTTGAAGTGCAAGGTTACCTTGAAATAATCTAAGGATCTAGGCTGCAGCATGTGCTCATGTGCTCATGTAGAGATGATTTTTGTCATTCCTGTGGTAGGTGCTAGACTTGCCAATGAATAAAACTCAGACTTCAAAGACTATGACACGAAACCGACAAATCTACTCCAGTGTGAAACCAACCTGAGGAGCTATGATGATATAATAGAATCTTTAACTCAGTTTTGTGTGTAGACAAGAAAATCTTGAAAGAACTGATGTCTAATTTCAGGACAAAACCACGTCTAATTTGATAAGTCATCAACAACCATTTAAATCATCAACAACCATTTACTGATCACTTACTATGTGCAAGACACTTATCTAATGGGAATAAAAACGTGTGATTCAAGTTCTCTGCATTAAAAAGCTTATGCACTGGTTGAGAAGACTTGGAGAAATAATAATGAAGGACAGTTCAGGTTAAGGGCCAAATGATTGGCCTTACAGCTGAGCAAACTGAGGGCTTCCTGGGGACCAGGGGATCCTGGAATATTTCCAGGAATGGCTGACCAAGTGGATTTTGGGGGGGAAAAGAAGGTCAAATGGAAACTGGGAAAAATGGAGAGGTAATTTCATGTAGGAAGTGATGCAAGTATAGATGCAGAAGCAGTCTTAGAAAGTACAATGTAAATTTAAGTTTCAAGCTGACGTGGGGAAAAAAGGACATCGAGGAATATGGACTAAATCCTAGCTTGAGTCTATACCATTTCTGGACTTGCTGAGTTATATGCGTGGAATAGATAAGAAACAGCCTCCCTTTTAAGTGGCAACTTGTTTTTACATGCAGTCACTTCTCCCTTACTCGTCCTTGTAGCAATCTGCGCAATCAGGCCACTTAGTCTACATGTGAAAGTAATTTAAAACTCCTGGAGTCCGTGATGATTGGCTAAGAGTTCTCTGTGTGCACTCACTCTGTATGTAGGATGTCCCTGCTTGTACTCAGACATGCACAGCAAACTCAGGGGTAGGGTAAATGGTACGAGACTGCAACATAAACTAAACCACGATTCTCAACTTTGGCTGCAAACTAGAATTATATGGAAAGGTTTAAAAAGATACTGCAGCCTGAGTCCCACTGCCAGACATTCTAATGTTATTGGTTCTTGAGTGGAGATGGAGAATCAGAATTTTTTAAAGCTCCCAGATGATTCTAATGCACAGTCAAGGTTGCAAGCCATTTGCACTGGTCAGAATAATGCTCCCCACTCAAGATGTGCCAATTGTGTTCCCTGAAACCTGCGAGTATGTTACTTTACAAGGCAAAAGGGACTTTGCTGCTGTGATTAAGTTAAGGATCTTCATATGAAGAGATTATTTTGGATATTCTGGGTGGGCCCAAAGTAATCATAAAGGTCCCTATAAAGAGGGGAGGCAGGAGGATCAAAGTCA